ATGTATAACATCACAGTGCTCATGGGAGCCTGGACACAGAACTGTTTACATTATTAGGTCATATTTACAAAAATATAATACAGAAGGAGTCACTCCGTCCCTTAAACGGACAGTCTGCCCAGTCCTGTAGAAGTCCTCAGGTCTTAAGTGACAGCTGCAGATGACTGAGGAGTCACTCGGGACAAAGTCCTTTCTCCTCACTGCTGCTACCTATGCCCGTCTCCTATCTGTGTTTTTGGGAAACTACACACAAAATAAGTGTGTCAGAAAAACGCAGTTCCACATAATTTGTAGTTGCAATTCAGGCCACAAGTTAACTACTAATGTTATGCTGCGTTATGTCATGTTGGTGCCATGAAACAGATAGTTGACAATTTGGAATAACACATACACCAACATAGCTGTTTAACAAAGCATCATAATTTTATAAGTAATAACGTTATTATATAAAGGTTAACCTTTTTTCTTTAAGTTGTGTGACATAGCGTTAGCTTAATTTGGCATTAGGACCAGACCAGGACAGTTAGCTACTTTACTTGATTAGCTTAAAAGAAGGATCACTTTTTGAGATATATAGGCTATCTCATTAAACATGTTCCTAACAGTAAAATATTGTAAACCAACTTCTTACCTGTGGAATGTTATTCCCTTCTGCTTGGTTTTAACACTTCTCTCGTTCGTATACCCAAATGCAGAGCAAAAATGTTTTTGCCGAGTCTGACACGGGTCTGAATCGGTCAGAGCACCTAGGCAAGATGGCGGCGGTATTGACGCAGCCCACAAGCCAGGGTGCAGCATCTATGTATATATCTATGGTTGCCAGTCACCAGTACTAACGTTAGCATTTACGTTATATTATAAAACTCAGTCATCACTGACCCCAGATAAGTTTCAAAACTCCGGGGTTGCATTTGACTGTGCAGGACAGGTAACGTTATGTTTAGTTTGCATCTATTATAACATATAATGTTATGACAACACAGCATCAAGTTGCTAATGGCTAACGTTAGCCTACTGTAGCGTAGCCTCTGAAACATTAACGTTACTTTGTACATCACACTTATCTTAGCACCAACAATTAAACCTTATAATGAAGCTTACATTACAAATGCATTATTATGTATGTCACTTTACTTAACACATACAATGATAAGTTATGATACTGCATGGACTATCATAGCATTCCATAAGTCCTTATTACAGTTGATTGTTGAGGTGTGTATAGGTGAGTATAGGTATTCATTAAGCATCATATTTCCCATCAGTCAACCTCTAATTTATAAGTAGTCAAGAACATCCAAAAGACACTTATAATTCATTATAAGTCACAGCTCTAATATTTTATGACAGCTGACATAGTGCATCCTGAAGCATTATGAGTGTTTATGAGTGCAATCATAGAGCATTATAAATGCATTATAACTCACTATGAATGACCCTATAATGAATGATAGATGTGGTCTTCATAGAAAGTGTTACCTTTTTGACCAGGGGTTCCCCAACTTTTGAATGCCACTGTACTTGATAAAGTAGAGGCTCTCTCAAATCATTTTTCAAACAACCTGTCTCTCCTCTCAGCACAGACTGTCCAGGCTAAAGAGCCTCTCCGCACTTGGCGTTGTTGCTGTTCCAGCATGTTTGATCAATTTAGTCTATTTGCTAATTATGCAGTTAATTGAAGAACGTATGTAATGCAAGTAAAGACAATAGTTTACTAACTGTAATGTGATTGCTGAATTTAGAACAGTAACCCTTTACAGACAAATGTAATGTGATTGCAGCAACCCAACACAGCGACTGACCACTCTACTCCTAATCATACTGATGAACCGTGCTCAGCTTAAAATATAATATTCAATATATTTCAAATACATAATTATTATTATAAGTGAGTCAAAGAATGCTTCTTTGTGATTAGGGATTTATTAGTTAATCATTTTTGTATTTACATCACATCGCAAACTTACTTAAGGGTACTAACTCTGATCTTGTCAGCATGAAGTCACCGTCATGTAATATAGTCACTTACTCCTTATTAGCATCGGCCCTCATGACATTTATTCATTCAAACATTAATGCATTCAGTGTCTTAATGCATTAACATATGACTTAGACATGTAGCCTCATTATAAAGTGTTACAGAAATGTCCTCAGAATGAAAATAATAGTCTATTTGTGCACACACACACACACACACACACACACACACACACACACACACACACACTGCCGTAGGCTCTCATGACTCATTGAAGCACGTGTTTGTAAAAAGCTATATTAGCTGACTGCATCAAGGAGAGCGGGATTATTTTCTGTGAATAACAACGAGGTAAAACCTGAGCTGCTACTGTATATCTCACAGGGGTTCTTTTGTTAGATAGCACATGACCTTGAAAAGAAATAATGCTCCTTTTTTGTGCAGACTTGTATACAATACAGTGTCGACATCTGAGAATTAAAATGACAGAATAACAGTTTATTGACCAATATTTTCAAAACATAAACATATACACTAAAACATTTTAGAATCCTGTAAATGTGACTAAAATTATGATAGATATGTGCTGAGCAGGAATTTTTGCATTGTAAAATAAACTTTCAAACTTGTAGTTGTCTCCAGTGTATGTAATGGAGATGCTGTGTCTAAATTACTTCTATGCTGACATTTCTTGTTAAATGTCCATTGACATATACACTGCTACTAACATATGTGTGATGGGATAAAATCTGCTTGTAATATCAGTCCCCGGTTAATCAGGCTCTATATGTGAGTAAATAATATTGTATGTATGTACAGTATTGTAATGTTAGAGGGCTTCTTGTAAACAGTCATATTAAAGATTGTGAGTTGGTCAGAGAAGGACAAAGTAGTGGTGAATGAAAGGGCAGTGGAGTTTTTCTACTGCTGGGCTGACACACTGACACTGTGATGGATCACTGTTCATGCATGAACTCTGACAACACTACAGCAACTAATCCAGCCTTGCAGCAGCAGCACATCAAATCCAGTCTTTGCTTTTCTTGTTTGGAGTATGCTAATATATTAACATGGAGACATTCATGAGACAGAGATCTCATCATATTCGTCTCCCTAACTTGAGCATTCATATCTGAAATATATGCCTGAAATAAAATACTGCGAGGCAGACAGCATGAATAGACAATGTGTAAATGCCAGCCAAACCCATTATTTGAAATGTCACATGCATTTCACACTTCCTCTGGTCCTTATGCTGCGTTCACATCACATCATACAGACTTTAGCTCTGAGAAACACAGTGGGACAAACCATTCATGTCAGCCCCTCAGTTTTAATTCCAAGTCAGAGACATCAGGAAGTTTTTACAGCAACAGTATATTCTATTCTGCAAAAAATGTAAGTCAGTAAATCTGTGGCAAAATGGCTACAAATCCACTATGACTAGTAGTTAGCCTACATTTGAATAAAATATATATATCTNACACCAGTGACCCTCCCTTCCTCCCTCATCGTACCCCCCTCTCTACACACACACACACACACACACACACACACACACACATATTTGTGGGTTAGGTGTGGGTACCTGACCAGATGTAGGACTCTGGTGTGAGCTCCTGATTGTTGGAGATAACGACCATAGAGATGTCCGCCCTCTCTCCAATATTATGAAACCAGCTAGTGGTGCTTAAAGCGGCAAAAAAAAAAAAGTTTAAAAACTTATTGTCTCTTTTCAGAAATCATGACACAGTTACTATTTTATTTGAATCAAAATATCACCGTGCATCTACTCGTGGACAAGAGGCTTGTGACAGAGTGTGATGTAAGGATTAATGGCACCCTCCTATGCTGAGCTGTAATGGTAACCTAGCACAATGGTTCTAAGTTAGCTAACAGTGGATGCACGCTTCCTTCTGCGCAATGATACAAGTGGTGGTAAAAAGAAATCATTTCTACAGGAGACTGCACACAAGGTCTGTGGATTATTTTGAGTAACCGGGTCATGATTTCTTGAAAGAGACATTGCTGTTGAGTTTTTCAAGCATATTTTTTGGGCGCTTTGAGCTCCATGAGACTAGTGCTATCTAGTTCCATTATATTGGAGAGAAGGCAGACATCTCTATGGCTGATATCTCCAGCACCCTGCAGCTCAAACTAAAACTATCTACATTGATAAATAGCACGAACGGTAAGAAGAAAAATCTGTATTTTCTATGGTGAGGTGAACTGTCCATTTAACACTATTCAGCCAACTGAGAAGGGAGCTTTACGTGATCTATTTGTGTATTTTCATTGACAGCATTGTCTTACAGTCTTCCCGTTCTGCCAACTTAACATGTATCCAGAATTAGCAGCAACAAAATTTTAACAACCCGACATCCAAACTGAAAGAAAACCAAACTTGTCATAAACAGGTAATATGTTGCTGTTTCATAAGTCTGAAGAAGTAAGGGGTTATTCTGAAGTAAATGGCCATGCAGCCAGGATATGTCTCACTGCTCATATTTTCACATATTATACAAAGAGAGCATACTGAAGTGTAGAATTCTGTCACTTTTTCTTTATCTCTGAAACATATCTGGAGCATTCCTCTGTTGGGTGAAAACTGCTTTCGATCTTAAGAGTATTGTCTATGCTGGGAATTAAGAGGGACTATTCAGATGTCCTGGATACAACAGATACTCACTGACACAATGTAATTTTCTTTATATGACACTACACAAAGTCACTAAAATACTGCAGGAAGCTCTTTGAATGGAAATAAAGGCATTACAGATATGGCATATCTCTAACAATGCAGATACAAAATCAGATAAATCAGATACATACAACCAGGCTGCTTACTTATTTTCAGATGTAAAGTTGTAGAAAAGCCACAAAAGTCAAAAGTCCATCCCCTGACTGTAAAATGTTATGTTATGTTGCCTTGGGAAACCTACGTTCTATTATCACAGCATTATGTTAGGTTACTTCTGTTTATTTAAAGGGAGCTTTTAAAGCTGAAAGGGAGGCACCTTACCTTTGTTGGAGTTATTTCCTGTATGCTCAGTGGGTTTGTCCCGGGCTGGAGCTTGTGTCTGGTCATTCGTCCCTTGCCCTAAGCCAGCTGAGGAAGCCTGGCTCTGTGCTGGAATGGGTCGCTGGACCAGGTTCCCCTCGCTGCCTGCCCTCATCAGCCTCTCTCCGATCCGCAGCATGCATGAGCGATTACTCTGCGGTTCCTTCCTCAAGCTGGGGCTCTTAGACCCAGCTGATCCGGGTCGACCCAGCCGCGAGGAGGACTTTGACATCTTCCCTGCCGGGCTGAGCAGAGCACTGGTTAGATACTCCAGGGTTAGTCCTAGTCCCTCTTTTCCTCTTCCTTTACCTCTGTGTGCTTCTTCTTCTCTCTCGTCCTGCTGCTCTCCTTTCTGTCCCTCTTATTTCTAGCCTGTTTCTCTTCTGTCTCTTAGTTCTTCCTCTCATGTACAGAGGAGGAGTGTTGAAGAATTATTTTGCGTCTTGTCATCCAACTGTCTTCTGCTTTTTGGTTTTTGAAAGAGAAGAGTTTTTGTCCTTGCAGTTGTCTTCTTCTCTCCCCTTCCCCTCTTTGCTAACTGGGTGTTCTTCTAGTGTTTATGATGGTGTCTTAATGATGTCAGGTTGTCTCTTCAGCCTTTTGTCAGTCTCTTTTCCACCTTCTTACCGTCCTGTGCTGTTCTCTTATGTCTGCCTCACATTGCACAATGATGCTCTCCAGTCTTGTTTCAGTCCTTCTCCTCTGTCCTTCTTCTTCGTCCCTCTCCAGACTGTGGTTGTATCTCTGTACTACTGGACTGTCCCTACGTATACAGCAGTGATCAGTGTGCAAGGAAGTGAATGTTCACAGAGCGTAAAGCCAGTTCACGTTGTATTATTCCCTGTCTTCCTCTTGCTGTCTCTCTGTCAGTAGTGAGCTCCCTCTGTGTGCCCAAACTCCTCTGGGAAAGCTCTACACATGCTCTCTCTCCCTGCCACCTCCTCTTCTCTCATCTCCTCTCTCCCTCTTCACTTTGAAATCTATCTTTTTCTTTTTAAATTCCCACTCTGCTCTCTGTTCCCTCCCCCTCTCTTGACTCAGCTGTGTCAACATGAAAACGCTGTTCACATGTTGGCTCTGTCAGTATACACCATGCAAATCCCTGTTGATGTCTCAATACTTCCTTCCATGCCATTTTTTTTATACCAAAACTACCATCCAGTACATCTTAAGTCTTCCAGTTTCCAATATGTGATCTTGGTTGCATTCCTTCTTGCAGAACATCAAGAGTAAAAGTTAATATAAGTTGCAATTTACTGCTGTGTACTCACATCTAAAACTAAGCACAAAAAGTATGGAAATTTGTGTAGATTATTTCTTTGTTGTAATAATGCTTCTTGGCAATAAATCTTATACGGTTGGAAAGCCTGTTTATTTCCCTTTTAAATGGTGTCACATTTGTAAGAAACATGCCTCTGTGGGATGAGCAGCAGAGCTGAGTATGTGGGTTGCACCTATGAAAAATTTGCCAGATCTTCTCTGCCAGTGCCAAAAAGCTTTTTTATGTTGCTATTGACTCTTCTAAATCTAGATCTGGATAGGGCCTGTGCGATGGGCCAACTTCAAGTGGCTCTTTGGAGACTGTTGGCCGTCTGGTCTCTGATGTCTGGTTTGGACTGTGATGTGGAGAACGCTGTTGTGTAGAGGAGGCTCATCAATGGATCGTCGGGAACAGGTTGAGAACGTGCACGCGCGGCCACGCCGATGGTGACCGCGATTCTTGGCCCTTGTGGATGGAGGAGAGAATCAATCCAGAGTTGGAGAGAGTTTGGGAGGCAGATGGAATGAATAAGGTAAAGCTGCAGTACTGGAGGCTGCAGTTTCAGGACCGCAGGTTTAGGACCGTTTAATTTTCGTCACAGCGCCACCTACCGAGCGGAGGATGCAATTTCCTTAAGTTTATTTTTATTTTTGCTGTACCCAAATACTACTTTCTTATTAAGTAGTTATAATCAGTGTTGGGACGTAATTCGTTATTTAGTAATGCATTACTGTAATTTGATTACTTTTTTTAGTAACAGAGTAATGTAACATGTTATAACTTCAAAAATAGGATAAATTAATTAGTAATAGTAATTAGATTATAGTTACAAGCCCAGGTAACTACACATTACCATTGCCAGTCCTCTCAGCTCCTCTCACCCACACTTAAACACCCGTCCTTGGCTACACAGTGTCGGATGCTCCACTGTCCTGCTAGAGTTTGTTCTGTGATGTTTATTATTATTATTATTATCATTATTTATTTTTATCTATTGATTTATTTTTTTTTGAGGGAATGGAGTAACTAGTAATGTAACTACTTACTTTTGAAATAAAGTAAACAGAACAGTAACGTGATTACTTTTAAAATGAGTAATTCAATTACTTTTAACTAGTAACTTGCCCAGCACTGGTTATAATTTAGTATAATATGATATAGTAATATATAATAATAATTAAGTTCACCCAGAAATAATAACAATTGCATGTACAATTCAGATCTCCATCAAAAGTGCCCTAAAAGATTAACAGACCTCTGTTACTGTATGATTGATAAATAAAGCTGAGTTGATTGACTCCTCACCAGATATCAAAGATTACAAAAACATAAAACACAAGGATTATCATGGGGGCAGATTAAAAATATCAAACTGAACATTTATAAATATATAAAAATGTACAAAAAAACAATAAGAAATAAAAAGTGAGAGAGACAAGTTGTTTTTTTCCATTTTTAATAGAAAAAAACAACTGAATTGCTAGCTAGCTAGCTAAAATTATTAGCTATATCTAGCTAATAATTAGCTAATAATAAGATGGCAAAGGGTTATTTTAGCATGCTATGCCTACCAGAGAGGCAACAGTATATTGATAAGCTTAATATTGCAGGTCTACCTCAGTGTCCCTTCTCCTTACCTTGCTCGTCTTGAAAAAAACATGATGTGGAGATTCTTCTTTAAGAAGATGAGCATTTTGGCATGCTCATCCATCAGCCTGCTCCTTCTACCAGCACACATTGTTATTTTGAGACATGCCTCTACATGCTGGTAGATTGATAGAAGTGCTCGAGCGGACCGCTGGAATGGACTCCTTGAATCGCGGAGCACTGATCACAATTACAGCATTAGTTGCATTCATACTGTCAATGCTTTAGCTCAGCATACATAAATACAGTTAACTGTTACTCTAAAAAATACATTTGGAGGGTCTGACAAAGTGTTTGCTGCACACATAGGCATACCGAGTGTCAGGATACAACAATTTCTTCCCTATTGAAGCCTCACATTTTATTGCCTGTATCCACTTTTGTCTTCTACAAGGTTCCATTTTTCTGCTCGGCAGCTGATAAAAGCTAAGCTCTGGGTTTTTATTGGCCGTGCAGCCCACCACACTGCAACTTTTCGGCATTTGGACATAGGGAAAACTCAACAGGCTGGAAATGGAGGGGTAAAGTGTGAGGGGAAAGCGGGCCTCGTTTCTCCTTGGGGGACGTGGCTTTCAGGTTATGACGTGTTGCACTCTGTCTCTATTGGATGGAATGGAGGAGCTGGCGAGGCCGAGGTATGGAGGCCACTTGCCTGGAAGTCTGTCTGTAGCCTGACTGCTGCGGGAATAATCTAACTTGAGGATAATCACTTTCTGGTGGATTCTGCTTGGACCAGAAGGATTGTTCTGCAGTTCCTGATCCGTGGTGAGTTGATTATTAGATACAATAAAAACTAGCATATGTCTTACTTTACCTACCTTACGTATTGAGGTAAGCCTGTGGTTACATGTGAAGCGCACGGTCAGTCGGTGTGAGAATGTGTCGAAGAGAAAGAGAATCCGTCAGGTGTGCTTAAATATTTTTGGGCAGAAAAGGGATGTGTTTGAGGCGTGGTCTTTGCTCCCGAATGTTGTTATAAAACTACATTTCTTGAAGACGATGTTGGCATGAGACATTTCGAAAACATTGGATTTTAGTTACCTAACAATGTTGGGGTTCACATTTGTACTGGCTTGGCCTCCTTGGGACAACTTAGCTGAGATCTGATTCCCTACTTCACTGCCTAGCTGCTTGATTAAATCTGCAATACCCTGCAACTGACTGGATTGTGCACCACCTGTGGGGATTTAACTCGACCACCTATGGTCACCTACTGGGGGTTGGACAGGGGAGGCTCTGGCACTCTGTTCGATCACACTAGCTAACTGAGCTCCGTGTCCCACCCCAGGGATTCCCCTTTCTATATTAAAAATACCACCATCAGTGCGAGCAGGTGTTACATTCACAGAGTTAAAACCACTATTTGACACAATTTCATCTGATTGTGGCACACTGACATATCGTGAAGGAGATAAACCTGCTGCCCCTTGAGGGTCATCACTATTTGAAAGGGACATGCTGAGCAGAGTTTTTTTTTTCAGTTACTGTCCACCCGTGATGTCGAGGAAACGTAGAGATCTTCCCCGGCGATCTGCAGCAGCTGATCTCTTGACCCGGGTCACAAATTTGTAGCATGTTTGGAACACACCGCAAAATCACCACGACACCACAGCTCTCTTTGGATCTCTTTTACTGAATAAGTCTGTAATGATACAATATGTGACAGGGACTGCATCAGTTCACATCCTTCTCTCCTCTCAGAATACTGTAAAGGATAAAATAACAAAGTAGAACAAATGACAAAAATAAATATGCCCTGTCTCACATGTCTAATTCATCACAGAGTAAGCACATTGACCTTGTGTGCACTCACACACACACACATACTCAACATCAGACAAGTAAGAATACACTTTACATTCATTTTATACAAATCCCAGAGAAAAACCACATTTCCCATATGCCTTGCGTCGCCAAGCGCGACTTGATGTGAGCAGCAGCACTTCAAAGGAACAGAGTTGAAAACAATGCAACGCTAACTTCTGAGGTAACGTCAAAACGCTTTACAGTACAGACTTGTGCTTTATGCATTACAACTGTCTTACATAGCTCTTCGAAATATCATTACAGTGCTGTGTTTTTAACACTAGGACAACTTTTAGAAGCTACTTTGCTCTGTCAACATACCTGTCTCTCTCAGCTCCAAAAGCACACTGAGAGAAAACTTCTAATGTGCATGTCACAGAGGGTGTTCACTGACCAAAACACTCAACATGACAATAAAGGTACATAAAATATTACTCCTTTGTTAATACTCGAAACAGTCTCACAACAAGGTTATGATTGACCTAACGTAATCATTGAGTGTTAAATTAAATTATAAAAGTATGATAAATCTGTATACCCCTCCTCTCACTGTCAGCAATTGGAATGTACCAACTCACTTATTGAACAGGGGCTTAAAGTTAGCTGGAATACCAAAACACACTATTACAACAACACAACTTAAAACCAATAAAATATCAACATCATCTGTTGTCAATATTGTATGTTAAATTGATGTTGGCATTAGATGTTGTCCTGATATTGAATTTTGGCCATCAGACATCATAACCTTAATTTGACCAAATATAAATGCCTAACAACGTTGGTGGCCAATTGGGTAAAGCTCAGAGGTGTCTGTCGAGTACATCTGCCAGTTTCCACTAAAGCTCTGTCTAAGTTTTCATATGTTGATAAAGGACTGCAGAACCCAAACCATTCATGGATTGTAGTAGCTAGTTGGTTGTTTTACATAGAGTGACAGCTTGCTGAGTATAAGCACTGAGGAGTTCTGTATTTAGACAGGACAATTGTCATGTGATATAAAATCA